GGACTCATGTTTTCTCATTTATTTTTATCTTGAAATTAACAAGGAATTTCGAGGTGGCCCTCAGCCAAAAGTCGTTTGTATTGCAATTTTACACAACATATTTGTTTTTGCGGATTTTTTTGATTTTTTCTATTTTTTAAAATATTATACAGTGGGATTGCTCGGGACCCGGTCCGGGCTGCTGCCCGCGAGGGTACCCGGGCGATTTTCCCCAGCTGGGCCACCCTGGGACTAACACAGCATAAATGACCTTTTTCTTATGGAAGGATGATGGCCTTGAGATATCATAATTTGAAGTGACCGTTCCTAGGTATTTCAGATTTGCATTATTTTACTCATCTGCTTCTAGTGGAGTTCAAACTCAGCACGTGGTCTGTATTTCAACAGTTCAGTCCAGGGGCGGTGTACCAACTGAGCTAGTGGACTGTTTTTTTTTACTGGAACCCTACTGATAACGTCCTTGTGTTTGTTTTCCCTTTTCTGAATTTTCTCTTTTTATTTCCCATTTACGACAACTTTCAGCACAATGTTTTGGTCAATTTTGAGAAAAAAATCCGGAAAATCTTTGGGCATGATTAGTGTACCCTACAAGCGTCACATCTCGGTCATTTCATCTATCTCCTTGTCTGGTGTCCCCATTTATGATCTATATGGATACAAAATTATTAATCTCATTAAATATTAAATTCATCATAATAACTATTAATAAGTTACTAACAAATAAATTTTATAATTTTCTGTTTTCTTGATCATGTTAACTTGTAGTCAGTCATATGACCAGCTACAGCTATGCTCTACAGGCCGCGGTCCCGACCATCTTGTTCCTGCATATGGCAGTCATCCATGGCCTAAAATAGAAGAGAGTCAAGCGACCTACCAGAAAATGTGCACATGTGCATGCACATCCCCTACATGAAGAAAAGAAAATCCTGACCAAAACCAGAAAATGCATCTACCACGAAAATGCAGGAAGGTGCATATGCAAATCCCTACATGAACAAGAGAAAATTCCGACCAAAACAAGAAAATCTATGTAAATGCACGTAAATGCATGCACATACTTACATGAACAAGAGCAGCAAAAAAGTAGCAGCAGCACACATAAAAAATGAAGACAATGGGCCTCACCGCAGATTCATTTTCGTCTCATGAGTGGTGCCGCCAAAGGCCAATGACTCACAGCAGAAACCACTGGACGAGCGGGAACGAAAAGCAAACAATGAAAAAAAAAGGCCCAAGAAAAAAAAGAAAAAAAAAAGAACCGTGAACGATGGTACTACAAACAACACATGCACAATTCTGCAGAGGGAAAAAGAAGAGATTGCAAACAGAAGATTGCATCTGTAGATTCTGTACCTGCCAAGTGGCTAAAAACACACACCTTGAGCTCTTGGATAGGAGGGAGGGGGGAAAAAGGGAGGGGAGGGGGCAGGGGAGGGAAGAAAAAGAACAATGACTTAAAACTTTAAAGTTCAAACTTTACACCAATTGCACAAAGAACTTAAAAAAATGCTTCAGAAAAGACATGAACAACAATTGGCGCAAATACCAAAATGGCAAATGCATGATTTTCCCAGTTTACAGAGAAAACGATTGCACCAGAACTACCATCTTACTACACCCGGCTAGAACGCCCCGTCATTGTAGCTGCACCTGGACTGAAAGTTGCCCCATGTTTTACAACTATAATGCGTGGGCACTCTATTCGGGAGAAGAAGGTAGAGCCGTAGAACCAATGATAATAACAGGGGGGAAAAAAAAAAACTGTAACACTATTTAGTCTATTTTCTTCTTTTTCTTTAACTAAGCTATATTCTTCACTCCACTACACGTTACACACTACCTACCTATCTATACTAGATGACCTGTTGCAGCTTCGCTCGCAAAAGCAATTGCGTTAGGTGATGCACGAAGCGTGGAGGAAACCGACCGATGACAACTCTCTCTCTCTCTCTCTCTCTCTCTCTCTCTCTCTAGACACACACACACACACACAAAGAGAGGAACTCTCTCTCTCTCTCTCTCTCTCTCTCTCTCTCTCTCTCTCTCTCTCTCTCTCTCTCTCTCTCTCTCTCTCTGTGTCCCATTTTCACGTATTTATCAATTTTTATGTATATTTTAAGTATAAATTTATTGTCTTCTCCCGCCTTACACGTTCAACATACGGTCCTCTATCCGCGATCCTTCCCCGCATCGTTCTGTCCCATTTTCATGTATTTAT